TTTGGACAGCATTCAAATAGCTTTTTTGGGATAAACGGCAGAAAAAGGAGAAACATTAAAAGAAAAAGAAAAAGAAAAAGATAATGAAACTAAATAAATAGGACAGCTGTCAAAGTTGCTCTCCGCACAAGGGGAACGAAGCACAGAAAAAGTCGAAACTGAAAAAACAAAAAGGAGAGGAAGGCACCACAGCAAGGGGCACAGTCAGAGGTGATCCCCGCAGCAGCAGTGAGATGGCGGTCAGAGGTCGGAAAGAGGATGCATCAGCCGGTCGTCCATCTAAAATTTTAAGATTTTTAATTTTTATGTTGTGAAATTTGGTTTATTGCAATAATTGTAATAAAACTATGGATAAAACCCTGTTTTCTATATCTGGGAAGCCTCGGGCGGTGGTGATGCGTTTCCACATCGCATCTGTCGCCTCTCGCCTTGGCAGCACGATTTAAAACTATGGATAAAACCAACAGGGATAATGGCAAACCAGCTGCTTTTCATGCTTTGACACAGAAATTCAGAAGAGTGATTCTCTAATACAAAAAACAAGCCATTAAAACAAAGACACAGGTAATAGATGCAAAACGAATAAGATATATTGTACACTTAGTCACTTACATAGGCAGCTACATCAAATTAGAGAGTCTGGTGAGCTAGAATTTCCAAAAGATATAAGAACGGGTGGATTCTATTGAGACCCAATAAATAAGACATTGTATGAGGAAATGCTGCTAATTTAGAACAAAAAGAAAGAAACAGAGACAAATCAAGATTGTCAAAAATACAAGGAGTTAGGCATTTGATATAACTGACATAAAGAAATACATCTATTCTACTCAAATAGTCAAAGCACACACAGCTAACTAAAATTTAAAGCTAGCTGGAAATATATTCTAGTCAGTAACAACTCACTTAAATGAAAGCCCCAGCGACTGTTCCCCATCTTCAAATATACGCTTGAAGGAATCCTTGAAAACAGAATGGCCAAAACTTTCTGATAGCACGACGAGTCCACCGGTTTTTTCGATGGCAACCTTCATTTCAGCAATTCCAACCTGTAAAGACAGAAAGGATATGATTGAAATCAACAGGAGGCTAAAACACAGTCGCATGAATAAAAAAATCATAAATTATCAAATTGTGATTGTAAGCACATTTAATTAAGTACTTCAGCTCAGCAGGGGAGGGGGTGATTTTAAGAAACTGAGCGTCATGCTTGCCATGTACCAAGAAGGTTAACGGGGAAAGATATGAGATTTGATACCTTTTCATTTAAAAAAATTCTCCAACCAAAAAATACATTATTCATTCATCACTCTCTCTTTTTTTCTCTCCTCAATTTTTTTTCTCTCATCATCATTTCAGTGTAACCGTGAATACTCACCTTTCTTTCTCTAATTACTCTACATTGTACATATAGCATGAAGATGAAGCTACAGCCCAACAACTTATTATTAGCCAACTTTGATAGTAGAATAAAAGCAGGGATATGAAATGATCTAGCAAATCACTTCACAAACCTGATCGAGCGCAGAAGCAAAAACATCCAGCACATGACCCTGGGTAACTAACTGTTTACCAAGCTCGTCATAGAATTGGACTGCTTTTTTAAAGAAAGGTGCTGCATCCTTGTCAAGATCCTTATGTGAACGCACAGGATCAGACAAATCTTTTGATACAATCTACAGAAAAATGAAACCAAATGAGATTAGAATAGTCACTGTAATTAGATCAATGTCAGTATGGACCAATGAAAAACAAGTGAATGCATATTGCTGTAAAGAAGTTCTCTGTTTTGTTAGACTTATATATCCAGGGGAAGAGATGCGGTCTCACAGGGGTGAAGCACAACTTTAGAGAGTGATCCTAGTTTCCATCTAAGTGAGGTTCTATCCCAAAACCAATTGGTGATAGGATTAGCCCACTTGGCTTATGAACTACTCATTTTCCCTATTTAATCAATGTGACAACTCACAAGTGATGCTCCAACATGTTTCACACTGGAGCACAAAATGGTTGCATATTATTCAGTAGCGGCATTAATCAAAATCCCATGCTTAGAGGTTTACATATAATAATTACTACACAAGAAAATATGTAGATACCAGCAACTAGAAAAGACAACATCAAAATCAAGATTGTAGTGGAAAAACTATAATAATTGGTGCATTAGTTGAGCGTGTAAAAACTGTATCTATTTTAAAAATTGCAGCTTGCACATTGTACATACATAATCCAAGAATGATAGTATGTAATTATAGTAAGAATGTCATAGTAAAATGTGAATCTCAGTAATTCACACATTAAGCCATATTAACAAAATTCAATATTGAAACAAACTTTTTCATCCAATATTTAAATCCGTGAGGTGGTGACACAGCGATTATCTATAAATATAGAGATAACAAATACAATAAGCAACATCAGCAAAGGAACAATGAGAATCATTTCAGTAGTCCACCAAAGTTGTCTACAGAATCTCAATGTTCAAGTTCACAAACTAATGAGGAAATGCAAGAGGCAGAGAAAAAGACTACATCACCAAAAATGACTTATTGGGGGAAGTATAAACAAAGAAAAAAATTAATAAAAATATATGAAAAGATTAACACCCAATTGAAGATCTTAAATTTATAAGTGCACAGTTTTACCGCGCCAGGACCTTCGGTACATGGGCCCCCCACCAACGCAATAATCCGTGCACCAGTTCCGGCCATAGATGCACCTAGTAACCCTACTGCAACACTCAGAGCAACTCCTGTACACCTCAATGCCCTGTTACCTGGTGCCACTGGCCATTGATCAGTTGCCAATTCATCCAACAACTGTAGCATAAGAAAAGGAAAAGGAAAACAAAAGCACTAAGTCTTTAAATTTATCGAAATAAAAGTTCCAAGTATCACAAATATCCACACACCAAATTCCAAACAGTCTAGTTACAAAGCACCAAAACAAAGAACCAGTTGAGGAAACACCTAAAATTATTAGTTCTCAACAGGAATTATCTGAACAGTAAAGATTAACACATAATAACTAGTGAATTACCGAATCGAGCGCATATTCACATTCAGATGCAGGTAACAAGAACCGATTAATCCCTGCACTGGCACCAGCTCCAGCCATTGGGCTAGGTCCGCCACCACCTTTCTGAATACCCCGTATACCACCAGAGACAAGTCCCAACTGCTCCAAAACTTGATCTTTAGACATGTCCTTCGATCCCCTGAACACATACACCTTAGACATCTCCGAGAACCCCAGTTCATGCACCTGAACTTGTGTACCATAGGATATAAAACCAACCATGGCATTATCAGGAAGCATCCCAACAGCCCGTTTAAGAGCCGATTTGGCAAACTCCAACTCCTCCTCGATCATGCATGTATCCAGAACAAACAGATAAATCGGAGATGGAACAAAGGCAGGGTTGTAATTCTGCGCGTTCTGGTAATTCGGGATTGAGTACTCGATGGAGGGAAAATTAGGGTACAACTCGGCAGGCAGATTCGTCTGCGAAAGTGAAGAATAATGCTGCGGAAAATGGTTTCTCATGAAGCAAAAGGGGCAGATCCATATGAGGGCCGTGAAATCAACCCTGCAAAAGGGGTTTAACACTGCGGAACACGTCTTGCATCGGAGGGGAGGGTACGGAAGGATCTGCAAATCCACGTGCGGGCGGATCGGCTGAATTGAGGCCGCAATCGGGATCACGCACTTTGAAGCCTCCACCTTGGATCGCGGCCAGTTGAGCCACGTCATCCGAACTCCTTCAATCCCCTCTGGGTCGGTTTGAGCAAGCTCCGGCGTCGCCATTGATGATGCAATTTCCGTGCAATTAGGATACCGGAGGAGGAATTGGACGGGGAAAAAAAATGTTCTAATTGCAGCTACTCCTTTGATTAAGGTTTATTGAGGAATTCTGCTATTGGGCGACCCCAGGGGATAGCCGAGCAACAAAGGGTGGGTGGAAAAGGGTTTGGGCGCATGTAGGCTATAAGATTCGGTGTGTTTCACGAGTAGAGACCAACCAAAACTGAATTGGCAGGATAACATATTTTACAAAGGGTTGATTGTTTATACATTCAATTAAAAAAAATTAATCAAAATTTTAATTTAAGTCAACCACACTATTTTCAATATATCAATATAATTGAAACATGTACTACAATTCTCTCTTTGAGAGCGATATATTCTCTCTTTGAGAACGAAATTCCTTCGGTGAGGGTGAAATCTCAGTGAGCTGATTGAGAGGTTTAGGTGCATTTTTGTCTGTACATTGCTTTCTAGCATTAATGGATTCGAAAGGGAACAGTGGTGCAAGGGATGAGTTCTATCGAAGCTGCAACAGTTCTCATTATCGGAGAAGGAAGCAGGAGACGTTGAACTCAAATCAGAAGATATCAAGGTCAGTGAGGAGGAATGTGGACGGAGTTTATTCGGGAAAGTCTATGGAGATAGAAAGGCAGGGATTCTAGGGCTAAAACGTACTATGGGCTATATATGGAAGCTGCAACACTCCTGGGAAATTAAGGAGGTGAGCCCTAATTTTTTTCAATTTATATTCAGTTCGGTGGAGGATAAAAGGAGGGTTGCCTCAGGCTACCACTGGCAGTTCGAAAATCAGTATATTATTTTACAAGAATGGTTCCCAGGATTGCACAGTAAACATTCATGTTTTGAGGAGCTTAAAATTTGGGTCCAAGTGCATAATATCCCGCTTAACTGGATGAGTACGGATGTGGGGATAAAAATTGGCAGTGTATTCAACTTTATAAAGAATGTGTCAGTTTGCAAGCTCGGTGGGGAGTTGGGAAGCCATCTCAGGCTTCTGGTAGGGATTAACCTCAATGAACCATTGCCGCGATGTACCAATGTCAAACTGGGAGACCAACGAGTAACAGTTACATTTAGATATGAGAAACTGGTTAATCTTTGCTATTATTGTGGAAGGATTGGGCATATGGATAAGCATTGTATCCATAGACTAGAGGATATTGAGCTTAAAAGATGTGCTGAGGGTCAATACGGGGAATGGATGAAGGCGATGGATAACATACTGGGAGGGAAATTTAGCTTCTCGGGTAGTTCTGGAGATAAAGCTAATGACATCCAACAAGATTCCAAGCTGGGATTAAATGTCCCTGGACAGGCTCAACCCAAATCTTCAGGTAGTGGACAGGTGGGAGAGGTACAAGGAAAAGAAGTAATGCCTATCATAGTCAGTAATGCAGTTATCCCCAGGAAAGAAGATGAGATGCAAGTCTGTCCAGTTCCAGATGAGGACTTACCTGAGGTGGAAGCCCCAAATACCAATGTCACTGAGACACCTAAGGAACCATTTTTTAAGGAGGATGAAGATCAGGGACCAGTAGAGCTGAAGGAAACCTCATCTAAAAATTACAAAAATGTACCTGAGAAATCTGTGAAAGGTGCATTGGAAAAGAAGGGCTACAGTTCCTGGCAAGGTGAATAAAGAAGAGACTATTATGAAAGTGGAAGAGGTTCATCAAAGCAGTAAAAGAGCCAGAGGGGATGATGATGAGATAATTGCAGGTATATCATCTATAGAGGAGACTGGAGTTATATGCAAAAAGCCTAAGATGGAGATTACTAAGGTGGAGAAGGCCAGCCTAAAATGGCCCCGAAGTGACCAATGAGAGTTATGGTGTGGAACTGTAGAGGACTGGGCGGGCCCTCTACAGTTTCCCAGATCAAGGATTCCAGAAGAATCCACCGTCCAAATTTAATTTTTCTGTCTGAAACCAAAAAATCTGTGGAGTTCACTAGAACTGTGTGTAGGAAGTTGGGGTATGACAATAGATGGCACTTGGAACAGCCTACGGGTACTAGAGGAGGGTTATTGTTGTTATGGGATATTAATATTGAGATTAGGACTATATTAGGTAATGAATTATGTTTGCAAGTGGAGGTAAAGGGGCCTAGTGTTAATGATTGGGTGTGGATCATCCTGGTGTATTTGAGTACTGACAGGAATATCAAGTCCAACCAATGGGAGTTTTTAATTGGGAGGATCAACAGTTGGGGGGAGAATTGGGCAATTGCAGGTGACTGGAATGATATAACTTGTAATGAAGAGAAGAGAGGAGGTAGACTAAGATCTGAAGCAAGTTTTGTGGGATTCAAGGAGTTCATCATGAGTATGGGCATGCTAGAGGTGAACCAAAAAGGAGCATTCTATACCTGGGGCAATAACAGGGAAGCAGAAGGATATGTTGTGGAAAGGCTTGACAAGGTGTTCATCTCCCTTGGATGGAACACCAGATTCCCAAATATGGAAGCATCAAACTTTTTTAGAAGTGCTTCTGACCACAATGTGTTGTTGTTTGCTACTGATAAAGAGAAAGTTTTCTCTAAGAAGAGATTTCAATTTGATAGTGGATGGGTCCTTATGGAGGGGGTGAAGCAAGCAGTTGAAGAAGGCTGGAAAATTCAGAGTGAAGGCACACATATGTTCCAAGTTGTTCAGAAAATCAAGAGCACCAGAATGGCACTTATGAATTGGAGGAAGCCTGTTAAAAGAAATTCAGAGAAAGTCATTGCAGCCCTGACAATACAACTTGAAAAGATGAGGAGTGAGGGGGGAGCTAGGAACTGGGAGGAGTGGGAGGAGAAGAAAAATGATCTAAACTTGGCATACAAAGAGGAAGAAAAATTTTGGAGGCTGAAATCCAGAGCTCTCTGGCTGAAAGCAGGGGATAGTAACTCTCAACTTTTCCATGCATTTGTGGCACAAAGGAGGAAAAGAAATAGCATTCTGAAGCTAATCACAGAGGGTGGAGAAGTCTGTGACTCTGAGCAACAGATTATCAAACATATTACAGGCTTCTACACCAAACTTTTTGCTACAGAGGGTTCTATAGGGGGAGATAGATTGTTGAACCTAATTCCCCAGTCCATTTCAGAGGACATGAATACTTCTTTAATCAGAACAGTTGAAGAAGATGAGATCAAATCTGTGGTATTCAGCATGCACTCAGAAAAATCACCAGGGGAGGACGGTATGTCGGCAGCATTTTTTCAGCATTTTTGGCATATTGTAAGGCCAGAGGTATGTAAGGCTATTCAGTCTTTCTATCTTTCTGGCCAACTGTTGAAAAGCTGGAACCACACAATTGTGACTTTGATCCCTAAATGTTTATATCCCGAATCTTTGGCTAGTTTCAGACCGATTAGTTTGTGTGGAGTCCTCTATAAAATCATTGCTAAGATTATGGCCAACAGATTAAAGCAGTGTCTGGATGTGTGTATCAGTCAGTCCCAGAGTGCTTTTATACAGGGGAGACAGATGCTGGACAATATTGTGATTGCTCACGAGGTTTTTCATTTCCTTAACAAACATAAATCTGGACCCAATACTTTTATGGCCCTCAAACTAGACATGGAGAAGGCCTATGACAGGGTGGAATGGGAGTGCATCAGGAAAATTATGTCTAGAATGGGGTTCCATGCTATATTCATAAAATGGGTCATGGCTTGTATTTCAACTCCTTCTTTTTCATTCAATGTTAATGGGGAAGTCAATGGGTATATTACCCCTACCAGAGGGATTAGACAGGGTGACCCTCTGTCACCCTATCTTTTTCTGTTGGTTTCTGAAGTGTTTTCAGCTCTGATTGCAAGCAAAACCAATGAGGGAAGGCTGAAAGGCATAAGTGTGTCTAAGGGAGGCCCAGTGATCTCTCACCTTCTGTTTGCAGACGATGCACTGGTGTTCTGTAAAGCTGATGTAGTGCATGCTCAGTCAATCATTGAGGTGTTGCAGATATACCAAGGGTTTACTGGGCAGAAGGTTAACTTGAGAAAATCATCTTTATTTCTCAGTAAAAACTGCTCTGAGGCTACTAAAATTCAGATGAATGCAATTCTTCAGGGTGTTGTTATAAAAAGATCATCCAAATATCTTGGTCTGCCCTTGGGAGTTACTAGCACTAAGAAGGAAACCTTCCAGTTTGTCATTGAGGCAGTGAGGCATAGAATCACCAGTTGGACCTCTAAGTTCCTATCTGTGGCAGGTAGGGAGGTATTGGTTAAGGCTGTACTCAGTGCACTACCTATCTTTGTTATGTCAGCCTTTATCCTCCCTGCAGGGATTTGTCAAGAGGTTAATAAGCTTATGGCTAAATTCTGGTGGTGTAAGGGAAATATGGAACATCAAGGAATGCATTGGAAATCTTGGGATAAAATCTCCATACCCAAATCTGAAGGTGGTCTAGGTTTTTTGGATAAAAAGACCATGAACAAAGCACTGATTCTAAAACAGATATGGAGAATTTATTCCCAACAGGAGCTGCTTGTTAGTCAGGTCTTAAAACACAAATATTTCCCTGGCACCTCTATGTTTGAACATAAAAAGTCTCAAGGGGCTTCCTGGATATGGAACTCATGGTCCTCTGTTATTCCACTGCTCCATAATCGAGTGTCAATTGCTATAAAAAATGGGGCTAAGACATGGCTGAATGAACTAAATTGGGTTCCAGATTTGGCAGGGAAAAAACCAGTTTTATCAGTTAACATTGAGCATAGGTTATTCAGAGTTAAAGATCTTATTGATGGGCATGGTAAGAGTTGGGATGCAACCCTAGTTAGAGCAATTTTTCAAAGGCAAGATACTAAGAGGATGATTGGATATAAAAAATTTTGGTTTTGTTTGGATTTTTTTGTTTGGTTTGGTTAATTTTGAAAAAGTTGGTATGGTTAGTTGTTAATGGGTATATTAAATAATATTTAAAATAAAATGATTAAAGTTGATTTGATGTAAAGTAGGTGAGAGAAAATTTGAAGTGATGGTTAGTTAAAATTATATGAGTGGATGAATAGTGAATTAAGGTAAGGTGGTGTGTAAGAATGATTGATTGATATTATTTAATTATATTAATAATATTGATGATAGTGGGGTTGAGTTAAAGTTGAGTTAAAAAAAATGGTTGAGTTAAAAATGTTTGGATTTTTTTGAAAAATTTTGTATCCAAACATGCTCTAAAGCAATTCTGAATATTAAAGGCCTTCAGCCTGGGATGTCTGATGTTTGGACTTGTTCCTTTGCTGAGAAGGGCAAGTTCAGTGTCAAAGCTGCATATTCCCAGGTTCTCATACCAAACATATGTGCAGTAGCTGAAGCAGAAACCAGCAACACAGCACAGGGGAATAAAAGGGCTAGACAGAGGTGTTGGAAGCTGAAAGTCATCAGCAAAGTCAGACATTTTATTTGGAGATGCTTCAACAACATACTCCCAGTTAAAGCTAATTTGAGAAGGAGGGGCATACAGACTGAAGAGGAGTGTCCCATGTGTGGCAAGGCTGTGGAAACACAGGAACATGTACTTTTTCTTTGCCTAAGAGCCCAACAAATTTGGAGATTATCACCTGTTCAATGGCACAGACAACCAGAGGATCAAACTTCTTTCAAAGAGTGGTGGTGGTGGGTAAGCTCCATGAAAATGGATGAAATCTCCGAGGAAAGAATACAACTTTCCACTTACATATTGTGGTGGCTATGGAGGGCACGTAACCTGTGGGTTTTTTAGAACAAATGGCAACCGGAGATCAGATTGATTCGAGCAGCTACCAGGGACTGGAATGAATTTAAAAACAGAAACCTTGAAGGATGATTTTACAGGAAGTAGAGAACTAGGTCTAGTGTCAGTTGTTCTTCCAATTCTTGTTCTATCTTGCTTTGCTTTATTTTCCCTTTGATAGCTGCTGGTCATTAGTGTTGATGCTCTGGTATGGAATGTAGCATTGTTATTACCATTGTTTTGTTGTTTTGTGATAAGCACCGAGTGTGGTTGGCCTCTAAGTGACCCAGGCTTGATGATTGTCATTTGTACAAGTTTTTCAGTTTTAATGAGATTTCTGCCGTTTGATAAAAAAAAAAAAAATTATAATTAAATAATATTAACCAATCATTCTTATACGTCACATCAATTTTAATTCATTATTTATTTATTTAAATAATTTTAATTAACAATCACTTTCAATTAATTTTTCTTATTTTATCTCAAATCAAAATTAATTATTTTATTTAAATATTATTTAATTATTTTATTTAAATATTATTTTAATATATTCACTAACAATTAATTATATCATTTTTTAAATTAATTATAATTAAAAAACAAGCTCAACTCAAGTCGCCGTACTGCCTCTTTAAGTTTGTTGTTGGAATTCTCTAGATACTCCTCTCCATGAAACAACCTCAAAGTTGACACCGAAAATTATTCCCAACTCCATTTTATCAAATTAAAGTTTTCTGAGATGGATGAGAATTTTGATTTGGCAAATGCTGGGATGGACGAAATGGCAATGGATCCTGAAAAGTTTTTGAAGGTGGGAGAAGAGAGAGAAATTGGAGACAAAGGATTGAAGAAGAAGCTTCTCAAGGAGGGAGAAGGGTGGGAGAATCCTAAATTTGGTGATGAAGTTGAAGGTACAATTGATCATATATGTTCCATTTTTTCCGGAAATACTTTGTCAAATTTCAACTTTGATTACCATTTCTGATTTTGACGACTGGTGCAGTTAATTATGTGGGCACTTTGCTGGATGGGACTCAATTTGATTTTAGCCTCACTCCTCTCAAATTTAAGCTGGGACAAGGTACGTTTTTTAATCATTTGTTCAAACATTTTGAAGTTTATTGCTGAAAAGGAAAATATTTCACTGTCTGCTTGCTATTATCAAGATTGTTTGATGGGATTTGTGTAAATGAAGTGTGATACTAGGTCTTATGTCTTATGCAAGTTTCTCTTTATTTTGATCTATTTGAAAACAATCCTGGAACTTGTATGTATACTGGCTGAAGACTACTTGGAAGGCCTTATTGAGCGTCTTAGCTGTTAGCTTGCGTCTTCTATGGATTTTGATCCCAAAGATTGGTTCCGTTTTCATAATGGAAATTATTTTTTATTGAATTGAAGAAGGAGCTGTATCGTACATTTCTCATTGTGATAGCTTCTTGCATGGTCAGCTTATACAACAATGATCCTTTCATATTGTAATGTGAGTATAGGGTAGTGAAGTAATGTGATGCAATGTTGTATGCCGGAAATAGTTTTCTTTTCGATTTCCCCTTTCCCTTTTCTGAATATTATCCAGTGTGGGAGACTTCCTACCTATTATGCTCAAGATTAGATCTTATTAGTCTCACAATTGACATGGAAGCACAAATTTGAGTAGTTGCACCCAAACTGTACAAGATTGAATTCAACTACAACTTAATAAGATAGAATTCAACTACAACTTAATAAGATAGCAATTGCAACTCATAAGATTGAATTCGACTTCCTCTTTAAAGTTTTGCTCTGATAAGGTAAATGACATTTTTAGTTCCAATACGATCAGGATATCTCCAAGCTGGCACCGATCCACATGTTGGAAGTCCAAATAAAACATGAGGCCGGAAAACAAAGTAACTGTCAATAACAACAAGTTATGTCTGGTGTGAAAATATTCTGCCCATTTCAAAGTCTCTGACCAAATTTAGATTCAGTTCGAGCATTTTGTTAGTTGTAGGACTGAGTTGAACTTTTAATTTTTAATAGAATCTTTCTTACCATCCATTATTTACAGAGACAAGTTTTATACTTTACCTCTCCAGTTGTATATAATTTAAATTTTTTATAAGTAAGCCCATTTTTTCAATGCAGTTGGTGATAATGATTAATAAACATAGTTTACACGAGTCACCAACTGGACACCTTGTACATTTTCTGACCTAGGAGTAGAAAAAAGATGAGAAGACTACTTGGTGGTAGAGTTTAAGATTACTGTTTGTAGCTTAACGTAATCTTTTAGACATCCTATTCAACTTATTCTCTTCATCAATCTTTCCGTTCTTGTTTCTGTACTTTAATCACTTCCATGCAACTTTGTTGCCATGGAACTTTTACTTTCTAATTTATCACAAAATAGGATTTTGATTGCCTAACTGTTGGAATCAATGTCTATTAATATATAAAAATGTTAAGGATTTACAAAATATAATATGCAGTTTCGCCCAAAAAAAAAGAAAAAAGAAAAAAAAAAAGAATCTATTACTAAAATGGAAATTCTATATCCACTATTTTTACTTTTTACATACCTTGTAAAAATGTCGATATTACAACAACTATTGCCAAAATATTAATTTTAATTACAAATTGATTTTATTCTTCTTTACCATGTATAAGGTAAAATTAATTGATTTTTTTTTTTACTTCTTAACATAATAATTTTTACCATCATGAAAATTAAATAAATTCATAATTATCTGTAAATCTCATATGTTTTCCCAAACATTTGATATGATTTATTTACCACAATTAAATAAGTTTAGTCATAACGTGCTATTTTTTTATGAGAAATTATTTATGCAACTGAATGTGAAACAATAACTTTTAATTAAATATTAAATTTGTTAAATTTTATTTTAAAATATAAAAAATAACAATAAGTCAATAAATAAATAAAAAAAAATTGCTTGCCAATAGAATATAAACTCAATAATAATTCTACAAAACATATAAACTAAAGGGGTGTATTCGTTTGGGATTTCTGTTTTAAGACTTTTAAAAGTTTTGAGGTACTCATTTGTGATTTTAAAATTCATACAAAATCTTGAGTTATTTAATTTATTTAAGACTAGGATTTGTTAAGATTTTTAAGAGTTGTTGGGATTTCTAAAGAAAAAATAATATATGAAACCCCACTCCAAATCCAACTTCCAGATTTAAGGTTTCACAGGATTCCTCAAAATCTTAAAAGTTTCAAAATGTCACTTGAAATCTCAAACGAATACACCCCTAAGATCTAAAAACTAAAAACTGTATTTTTAACAATTAAAATATAGCAGTAACTAAATACAAAAACACTCTTTTTTTTTCTAATGAAAACATAGAATTTAAATACTTTTTTTGAAAAACCAAATTTAAAATCAAGACATTCGATTTTTAATAGACAAAAATGGGATAAATTTGAAATAAATAAAATTAATGGATATTATCAATTCATATATCTTGACATTACTATGTATTTCATGAATCCATCCTCAATCAATTATTTTACGAGATAATTGTGGAAAAATAATTGCTTTGTGAGATAACTATATCAGAGATGCGTACTTATATACATACTTTGCTATTGAGTCTAAATTAGCATGAGCATTTCCCATGCCAGGATCAGAAATCTGAATATACTCGTTTCCTTTATTAAAAAATTAAAATAAAATTGGGCGCTCGGTGCATATTAGAATACTACACGGGAATGTTCTAAATTAACTTGTCTGGTATCTTGTACTTTGAGGGATTATTTTGTTTGATCTGATAGACTCCAGTATTAAGTTGATAATCAGGTTAACTACAGCTACTTATTATTTTACGATACCTCTCTGTAAACCAATTGAAAAGTTGTGTATAAAGTTGGGCTTGGAATCTTCAACCCTAGTAAATGGGTGGGCATACGATACAGACTCGCTAATTTAACAGAATCTCCATTTGAGCAGTACAAGTTGAACTTTTCTAACAACAGTGAGATTAGGCAGCAAGGTTGATATACAGTTAACCTCAACTACCTGATCGGAGATTATGGAATATGTTTGAGCCTATGAATTTGTTTATTTCTCAATGCAGACTCTTGAATACTTTGTAATGCTCTTTTCTCTGGACCAAAGCCACGATACGTGTTTTATGTTGAAGGGGATGTGAAATGTATGAGATTTATATCTCAGCATGTGAAAATTATCATTATTGGCTAATATTCTTGCTTCATGGCATAATGTTGCAACCCACCTTTAATTAGTGACCAAGATCAGCGGGGCCAGCCGAGTCCCGTTTCTGTTTAGCATAGTGAGGAATTGTTATTGTTACTAGGAAAAGAGAGAGAGAGAGAGAGAGAAAAAAATAATTCAAATCTTTTTACCATACTTTATTTTGTCTCACTTGTGCTATTCTTCACCATTGGCAGGAGATGTAATAAAAGGATGGGATGAAGGTATTCAGACAATGAAGAAAAGTGAAAAGGCCCTATTTACTATACCACCAGAGTTAGCCTATGGAGAGTTTGGTTCCCCTCCAAAAATACCCCCCAATTCAACACTTAAGGTTGAAGTTGAGTTGCTCTCTTGGATTAGTTGGAAGGATATATGCAAGGATGGAGGATTATTAAAAAAAGTTCTTGTTGAAGGAGAGGGTTGGCAGAATCCTAGGGACCCTGATGAAGTTTTTGGTTTGCATCCAAACCCTGTTTGTTTCTATGTCTAATTTAATTTTATATGATGGAAGTGTTAATACTTATCTTATTTTATATTGCAGTCAAATTTGAAGTTCAGCTTGAAGATGGGACTGTGGTGTTGAAAGAAGATGCTGTGGAATTTACTGTGAGAGAAGTTATGGGATCAATTGGATACAAATTATTTTCATTTTCGTGTCGCAAGATTAAGTGGTTTTCATTGGAACTATGATTGGATATAATTATTTTCCAAAAGCTAACTATTCATTTATTTTTACTTTTTTCTCCTCAATCTTGTCAATACAATTAAAAATTATATAAATCAATCGTTGCTACATATTTCCCAATAAAATTCACTATTCATCCAACTCATATTTTGAATTCCCAATCATTATTTTACTACTTTTTAATCACATTAATTTAACCCATTAAAGTTTGTCTCATATCAATTAACAAATTGAAAATTAATTCATTCTTCCATCCCAATTTTTTTCCACTTTTCATCACTTTCTCCATTCTGATGATATATTTTTTTCAAAATAAGATATATTTATATTATTTTTTTATTTTCCGATCATGCACCTTATGTGTCTAACTCTTCCTTGTGCAGGTCATTTCTGTCCGGCTTTATCCAAAGCTGTTAAAACAATGAAAAAGGGTGAAAAAGCTCATTTGCTTGTAAAGCCCCAATGTATGAAACTCACTTTTTATATTATAATTTTCTGAATCTGCAGCTTCATTAGACTTGTCAACATGTGTACTTGTTGCAGATGGATTTGGAGAGAAAGGAAAACCGGCTGCTGGTAATGAATTTTATGTGCCACCAAATACGACTCTTCAGATAAATCTGGAGTTAGTCTCCTGGAAAATTGTTTCTGACATTAGTCATGACAAAAAAATTCTGAAGAAGATCATTAGGGAAGGAGAGGGCTACGAACGTCCACATGATGGTGCAAATGTACGAGGTGAGTTTATGTGTTTGCTGTTAATGGGAACTCCTTCGGTTCTTGTACAACCTGTGGTGTAAAATGGATTTTCGTCCTGGAAAGCATATTGCAAAGAGCAACTGACATGTCTGCACGCAACTCTATAAAGCAGCAATTCTAGAGACACTAATTGTGAAGTTTGAACAAAAGTATTGAAGTGGCTGATGAATGCATAACTGGGACAAAAATAAAAAGAAATGGCTAAATTGTGGATAGTATACTCATGAATAAAGAATAATTAAGAGGATGCTTGGATACAAAAACTATCCAAAAAATCCAAACATTTTTAACTCAACCATTTTGTTTTAACTCAACTTTAATTCAACGCCACTATCATCAATATTATTAATTTAATTAAATAATATCAACCAATCATTTTTACACATCACATCAACTTTAATTCACTATTCATCCACTCACATAATTTTAACTAACTATCAATTCAAATCATATCTCTCATACTTTTACACCAAATCAACCTTAATTGTTTTATTTTAAATATTATTTTAATATATCAACTAACAACTAACCATACCACCTTTTTCAAAATTAACAAAACCAAACCAAAAAATCCAAACAAAACAAAAAAATTTTATATTCAAGTATCCTCACAACTATAGGTGTACACAAATCTAGAGATGGAGATTTTTCCGTCTGGATTGATTCTTTAGAAGATGTTTAGAGCATGTTTGTATACAAAAATTTTCACTCAAAGTGAATTTTTTTGGTTAACTAGAGTTACTTTGAAAAAAGATGGTATTGTTAGTTGTTAGTGGGATTTTGGATTTATATTAAAATAATATTTAAAATAAAATAATTAAAGTTGATTTGATGTAAAAGTATGAGAGAGATGATATGAGGTGATGGTTAGTTAAAATTATGTGAGTGGATGAATAGTGAATTAAAGTAAATGTGATGTGCAAGAATAATTGGATGATATTATTTAATTATATTAATAATATTGAGGATATTGGTGTTGAGTTAAAGTTGAGTTGAATGAAATTTTGAGTGAAAATTTTTATATACAAACATGCTCTTAGTTTGTTGCTTCTTTTATTCTTACCTCTATTCTTATAACTATCAGTTTAATATAAAACAGGATCTCTAGTAGAGGCGTGATAGGCAATAATTATCAAATTTTAATAGCTTCGGCTACGGGCGAAATATGTTCTTGCTGGGCAGAATCTTTCTGCTGGGAGGCTAAGCTTCTGGTTACTATTTGTTATTAAGTAAATTCCATACATCTTCTGTTGATTCCTTACTCCCTCTTACAATATCTTGGCATGCATTAGTATTCTGTTTGTTCTGGCTTCTCTCTCTTTTCTTTTCTTTAAGTGTCAATCTTTTATAACTGACATATTGCCATCCTCTTAATATCTTGTTTCCTGCTGTGGAAGTCAAACTGACTGGTAAGCTGCATGATGGAACTATTTTTGTGAGAAAGGGGCATGATAGCGAGCCACCTCTTGAGCTCAAGGTGGATGAAGGTAACTAGTTCACATGAGTCTGCAAAAGGAAAAAAAAAAACTGATTTCTTTGTGGTGATGTGATATTCTGAAAATATCAATGTACAGACCAAGTAATAGAGGGACTTGATAGAGCTATTAAGACCATGAAGAAAGGGGAAGTTGCACTTGTTGTTATTCAGCCAGAGTATGCATTTGGGCAATCTGAATCTTTACAGGAGCTGGCTGTTGTCCCCGGAAACTCAACTGTGTATTATGAAGTTGAGATGATCTCCTTTGACAAGGTTGTATGAACATGTTTAAGTGTGTCTGCTTCAGGAAGAGCTTTGTAACTGAATTTGTGACTTAAAAATGTCGTTAACTTCAGGAAAAGGAATCTTGGGATATGAGTGCAGACGAGAAAATTGATGCCGCAGGTAAGAAGAAGGAGGAAGGGAATGTATGGTATAGAGCAGGAAAATACCTGAGAGCTTCAAAGAGATATGAAAAGGTATATGCGTGCTAAGTTTTCGTGTTGACCTCCATTCATCTTGGGCACTATTTTGATTTCAAAAATTCATGACAACTATTTGGTTTATCCAGGCTATCAGCTTTATTGATTATGACTCCTCTTTCAGTGAGGAAGAGAAGGAAAGGGCAGAAGTGCTCAAAGTCTCATGCAAACTTAACAATGCAGCTTGTAAATTGAAACTGAAAAAGTTCAAGGAGACGGTGAAACTCTGTAGTGAAGTCCTAGAAATTGACAGTAGAAATGTTAAAGCTCTTTACAGAAGGGCACAAGCATATATTGATCTGGTAGAGTTGGAATTAGCCGAGAAAGATATCAAGAATGCACTTGAAATAGATCCCGACAATAGGTAATCTAACTTACACATTAATGTGTGTTTCCTGAAAAATTATATTTTATTACCGCAACAGCTTTTTGCATGACAGTCAACATTCTTGTGACAGGGATGTTAAAAAGGAGTACAAAATCCTGAAAGATAAAGTAAAAGAATATGACAGGAAAGACGCACAGTTTTACGGTAACATTATTGCCAAGATGAAAAAGTCGGAACGGGTTGAATACTTGGTAGGTGGTTTTATACTGAAGTTTTTGCTCAAGTGAACAATGATTAATGTTCATGGTTTTTTTTTTTTTCTTAAACTGTTTATATTTTATTTTATTTGGGTGCAGGATCCACCAAAGAAGCAGGGGTCTATGTCAGTGGCTATTGATAGTAAGGCTTAATTAGTCTTTACAGCTAAAACTTTTCTATTCTCTCGCTATCTGTTTATTTATTGCGTCCATTCCATTTTAATATTGAATGACAAAGCGTACAATTGCTGTTCGTCGTAAAATATTGAGCTCAACTGGTTTCATTAGAGACGGTCTCTTTGTAATTGGCTGTCAAAATTACATGTAAAAAGAAAATCTTTCAGTTGTGCTGATGAATACATCTGTTGCAGTGTTGCTTATGATTGTCTTGTTGCTTCTGATGTTCAGTCCTCATGTCATACGGTATTTATACCCATTAATGTTCTGTTTATTTAAAGTTGGGCAATTATATTATTTTGAGATGTTTTTGCCTTGTGGGGGATATAAGATGGAATAAAACTTTTTATTTTCTTTCCTTTATTGTTTTCTTTTCCCATGTTCTTTTGGTGAAAACTACCTGAAACCTCCAGGGTATTGACTTTTGCTTTCACTCTTATTAGAACGTGCATAATTATAACCATCAACATGTTCCTTCAAACAGGATTCGGAAGAGCAGTTGGAGGCCTTGCAGAGAAAGCTGTCCAAACATTTAAGAGTGGAAGGTTAGTGCTGACATCCCTGCTGATGTTAGTCTTTGCAGTTGTACTTTCTTTTTTGTGCTTGAGAAACTGAGCAAACATGAAATATAACGTGTAACGATTAGGAAGCTGCTGGTATTCTTGCGGCTGTTTGTTGTACACAAGGAACTGAGATAAAAGGAATGTAATTTGTGAACACTTGAAGCAAAGGGCACATTCATTGATTTAACATGGTATGCAGACTTGAAGTGGACTTTTGCAGTGGTTAAACCTGGAAATGCTTAAATTGGGGCTCACCCTTACAGTGGTTGAGTCGGGAGATCCTCAAAATGGGGTGATAACCTCATGCATACAACAAAAGAGTTCCAATTAAATAAGGGATATTTTTTACCTACCAAAGTATGCTCGTTTTTATACTTTGTGTTAAAGAACTTTTTTCCTTGACAGGTTACCTCCTAAAGTACACACAAAACAGACAATGTCGCCTTTATTAAAAATCCTAACACGACACAAGCAAGTATTAACTCAATTAATGATAAATTTGGAATCGGTCTTATAATTGATTTAAGGCTTTTGAAACTCATGGCGATGAACAAAATGAGGTATGGTGTATAATTTTTTTAAAAATTGATGTCGGTAATCAAACGATGAAGAGGGTATGCGCAGTGTGTATAGAAAGAAAAGGGAAAAAAAAAACTACGGTTCAACTTTTGGATAATCAAAATATTTGATTTTCGATTGGGAGGTGTCATTAAAAGCTTACATAATAAGTTTTAATGAGGCAAATCAGTTTTATAGGCTATTCTTTTTTTTTTTTTCTCGGAACGACAGATGCAACTATATTAAAAAACTGAAGCGAACATAGTTCGAATACAAGCGGTACAGCCAAACAAACATAAAAATGAGAGACGCATATAGCGGTCTAGAGCCTCGACTGAAACAGATACAAACCTCTAACACACAAGTACATCACAGAAAAACACCACAAAAGAGTTAAGCCCTCACCACTGCTTCAAAGCCTAGTAAGGGGCCTAACTGAAAGAAGAAAGAAAAAAACTGAAACTATTCAATTAATGTCGTTTATTTATTCATTTTTTTTATTTAATTATGAAACTTACAGTTATATTTAGACATAATTAAGTGTGATAATATTTTTTTAACTATTCTATCATCTATATATATATAATAAGAATAGCCATTTACTAAAAATAGTAGTAAAAATTATTGGAAGCATTTAATGCATACTTTTTTTAGAAACTTTTTAAATATATGCATTAATTACTTCCATATACATGGTTTTAAATAAGATCAAATCAGATATGACAAAAAATATTATTTCCTTAAATAATTTTATTAATATGTATAATAATTTCATTGATATCCATTATAATAAATTACAAGATTGATTTTTCGTGATTCATGTTGATAATATTTTGGTCAAGATAAATATTATAACATATTTTAAGTTCTAACCATAATATTAATTTTTCCAAAAATATTTACTTTTTATCCAAAAATATTTATAGGAAATCGTAAAAGGTGAGGTTGAGTTTTTTCTTCCAATTAATCAGGCGAAATCAAGTTGGTGAATTAATGTTTGCTAATATAATTTTTCCTTAAGCAAATTAACATAATTTACTATTTAAGAGATTGTGTTTTTGGCATTTGCTAAATCAAAGTTGTTTAATTAGTATACGAATTAAATTCTAAAAAAACATATGTGTATATTTTATAAAATATTTATACACCATTTAGTTTTAAACTTATTTACATATTTTAAATTAATTACATAAATAAGTAATACTAATGTGCATTAAATATTTTTTATTACATAAAATAAAAAGAAAAAAAAAGACGTACAATTTCTATAACTTTTATAAATAATAATAACATTATATGACAACAAAGTTTATAATAAAATAAAATAATAATCAACTATTATATAGTCAACAAGAATATGTAAATCTGTTATTTTCTCTTATATCAAGGAATAAATATATATATATTAAAATCAAATTTATATTAGTATAAGTGTGTTAGTGAGATAATATATTGATTATTGTACAAGTTAGCCCTAACAGACTCATATTTAATGTTTGACACGATGATCAAAAGAGGTAGAAAACAAATTATAACCCTATTGTTTTCTAGACTTACACGCTGATTAAAAGATATGGAAAATAGATGATTTTTAGGCTTAAACGGACAGAGCATGTGAAATAATTCATTTAATATCTCTCTCCCGTTGATTAAAAGATGTGAAAAATAGATGACAACTCTATTGATTTTTAGACTTAAATGGACAGAGCATGTAAAAATAATTCATTTAATATATCTCTTCTGTGCATCGCACGGGGTACGTACTAGTATAATTATTACTACTAAAGTTAACTAATTATAAATTCACATTAAAAGATTTATGAGAATTATTTATTGTAAATTGAATATTATCTTTTTATATTTATTTCATTGGGCAATTTTTGAGATAGCTAATGTTTAAAATGGCATAACAACCCATTTAAAATAGCATAAATAATAATAACAACAACAATAATAATAATAATAATAATAATAATAATAATAATAAATATATTTTTTAAACTAATTAAATTATATAAGAAACTATGTTTGTAATAGAAAAGTAAAAAATAAGGTTTATGTTACCTTTATATTGAGTAAATGTTTACTAGTACACAGTCAACAGAATATTTTAATGATCAAGTCCATTAAAATACGAAAGGGTTAATTGCAGAAAAAATCATGACCTTTGCTTAAATTGCAAATAAAACTCCACCCTTTTAATTTGGCAAAAAAATACCAAACTTTTTGTAATTTTTGCAATTGTGTCTCGAACACATATTCCAGCCAATACATGATGACGTGGCAGATCGGAAAATTGACATGGCCAATACTCGGTGACACGTCATCTCAGGCCCTTCCAAGTAAGATAGCCACGTCGGTGACACGTCCCTTGCAATTTTGGCCCCAATAATTTTCTCTCAGCTGACATAGCAGAGTCATAAATTCCATCATTCTTCGATCAATCTCGCCCAATTTCAGAAACCCTCAATATCGCGGCCATCAATCGTCTTCATCCTTCTCCTAAGACGTGCGACTCCTCTCAGCAAGTAGCAAATCCTAGATTCCATCTCCTCCATAATCATGTCCCTTATCTTCCTCCATCAACGAGAAATCAGTAGCCGACCGAATAGCAAGGTTCAATCCGCCGTCGCGCTTGTTCCAGTCACCAGTCGCCGGTGAACTTGAGGGCGGCCGTCCGTTCACCTCACAGCAACCCTCCGCCGGTTCCTTTTATTAGCAGCAGAAATTCGGCGGGCTCTATTCGACGTCGTCGAGTTCATCGCAGTCGTCCCGTCGGTTTCTTTTCCGACCAGCAGCGGCCAGCGACCCTCTTAAGCAACTTCTCGCCGTAAATGGAGATATTTTTGCTTCATCTTCTTCTCATTTTGTTGCTTCATTTTGCGAACTTCGAGGCTGGGGCTACCCATTTTCTTCCTTTTTTTTGATTCTGATTAATTGATCTATGTAGATAGTTTTATTTATATGTTTGATTTTTTTTTTATCCAGGTGTATTTCCATAGTTCTAAAAACCAGACCGGACCAACCGGTTCGATCGGTTCAACCGGAAACCAGCCATAACACCAATTCGGATATAAATCCGCTAATCCCAAAAACCATTCAGAAATTATATCCGCTAATCCCAAAAACCATTCAAACCGGTGAACCGGGAACAATTCGTTGGCCCAACAGTTTTCAATTTTATACTTTAAAATTTGGACGGTTTGTGATTCCAAAATGGACCAGCCCAAACTAACTTCTTTCAAGTTGGGAAGCCCAACATGTGATGTAGCCTATTAACTTGTTAATTTTTTACTAAGAGCCAACCACACGGTTTTGGGGCTAATTAATATCATCCACTTTGTGCTCACTTTTATAGCCACTATTTCCTTCAATTTAGTATTCTCAAGCGATGTGGGAGTGGGACACATGATGCCAAAGAAGTTTTCAGCTTTGATTGACGGAATGAAAGGAAGATTAAACATCCCACTTTTATTATTATTTTTTATTTTTTTTACTTCTATCAGCAAATATTTAAAGGGGCACTTCTTTAAAAATCCCTAGACCCTTTTTTAACTTCCATTTCAGTCCCTATGTCTAATTTTCTTCCACTTTACTCCCTCCCACTTGTAAGACTTCAATTATTCCCATAATGCCCTTTACTCCTTTTTATTTCTTATGCAACTGTTACTTGTTTTTGTAAAATTATTAACCTGTTTAATTGTTTTTCGCATATCTTCATCATATCATAATAAAATTCTAAATTTGTAATTTCATGTAAATAAATATACCTTGTTATTTTCATTTTGATATTTTGAATTTTCCATTCTATATCAAAATAAATTTTTCTTGTGCTCATTTTTTATTTTTGTTGTTCTAAATTTTTACAGACTTTGAGTAAAAACTTTCAAACATTAATTAGTATACTATTTAGAACTCATTATTAAGTCCTAATTCTTTACTTATTTCTTGAACTTTTTGTTCAATTTTATATATTTTGTTGTTGGGTTTTATGATTACTTCAGCAGTATTATTTCTTGAAGAACTAGTTTCTTCTTCTTCATTATTCTTTTTGGGAATAATATAGTCTATACTGGGTCTAGTCATAGACTCAATTCTTTGTATTTGAAAATTTCTTTTAGGAGCTTCCAAATGTAATATGGGTGAGAATAACTCGTCAATTTCAATTTTATCATGAGGTTTGAATGACAAACTATGATGACTATTGGTTAATGCATAATTTATTCTCCAGGTTACTGAGAAAGGGTGGTTTCCCTTTTTCATTAACTTATTTCTCAACATTTTCCAACACAGAGTGATGGATTCATCAAGATTATTGTCTAATAATGACATTCCTACTTGATAATTAAGATTAAACTTGATTTTTCCATATTTCAAGTTTCCTTGTCCTTCTGCAACAAGTGCATCAGACTTGTTTATCATCCTATTATCTTCTAGTCTGATTAGCATAGGTGTATCTATCCCTAAGCTAAACGTGCTTTTTAATATCATTTGTATTGTTGATACATGTATATATGCTATTTTATTTCTAACTTCAGATTTTATCTGTTTTAAATTTTTATAAATTTGTTTTTTACAAATTACAGGTATGATTACATTTCCTTGTGTTTGGTCTGTATCAATTGCTTCTTCTCCAGCAATAATACCAAAGAATATTTCATTTTTTCTTAGGATTAAGTTATTAATCCTTTTAAACACTTTTTCTTTTGAGAAATTGTGTTCTTTATTTAAATCGTGTTCAACTTTTCCAAGTTTTTTAGCATCTATCAGGGCTTCTACGAAATATCCTGACGTTTCTTGTTTTGAGAAATAATCTAATTGATTATTTTCCATTTAATTATTCTCTGTACCTCCAAGGATCTAAACATTGTGTAAAGAATTCTTCTTCTACTCTAGAGTTAGTTCTAGCATTATTTTCCAGGATTTGTATTCCTATATTTAAATTTTTAGTTTTTTCTTTATACCACTGTAATTCAATATTTTCTCTTCCAGAAAGAGTTATCCTATTTTCCATTTCGTCAATTATTTTTTCTATAGTTTTTCTTCTGGCTAAGAAGGCATTTAACCAGTCTATTCCTGGCATTTTGGTTTAGTATTTCTTGCCTGCTACCAGGCTCTGATACCAGTTTATAGGGGTACCTTCCTTTTAGAGTTTTTCAAACTCATTTTCTGAGATCTTAGTTTCTTTTCTGCGGAAATATAAGGAAAGTGCTCCTAATATTTGTCCGATTCTCGCTTCGGTTAGCGTCCAAACTTTGTTTCTTTCAGAAACTGTATTGTAGCTTTGAGCTTTTCATTTTGTTTTTTAATTCCGGGATATATATCACCATAATGACAATCACAGTTTTTATACATCCTAATGTCTTCTTCAATACAGGAATTTCCTGTAAGAAGTTCTTCTAATTTTTCAATAGCTTCTTTTTTCATTTTCTCCAAAAGCTTATGTTCTAAATATTTTATATTTGAATAAATATCTAGTTGAACTGGTTTTTTACATATATTTTTTGAAATTTCAAAAATTTCTTCCATTTATTCTAAAGGTTTTAGAATCGTCATACCTGACTTCTTCTGAAGTTTATCTGTTCCTGGGCATCAATACCCTTTCCTTCCAGTTTGTTCTGTTGATGGGTCCACCACGGCTAACTTTCGCCACTGCATTTTTATCTCAATTCCAAGCTATGCTTCAAGACGCTTTACTGCCACCACCGGGACTTATTCCGTCGAGCTTTAGCCTCCAGGAACTCCAGAGATTATGCAGGCTGTTGCCTTTGGTTTCTTTCTGACCCTTACTGGACCTGGGTTTAGATCTTAATGTTCTAAGTTTTGGAACCTTAAAGGTTCTCTTTTTCTTTTCTTAGTGTAAAGACAATTTTATAAAAAGTTTTATCTTATTTCTTGAGAAAAGATTACAAGGGAGAGGAGAACATAAGATTGTTCATGTTCCGAAAATAAGAATGCCTTACCACATATCGGAGGTCACTCTTATATGGACTTCATAACTTAACAACTAAGAGACGAAAAGATCTTCACAACAATAATGGCACATGGCCCATAAAAAGTAATACATAGCTGTTGATGAGTCAGCTCTCACTTATTAGTGCCTTTCATAATACGGCTTAATAATGTAAGGCACGCGGCATTACATTGTGGTGAGTGGATAAGGCTCCAACCTGGCCCTGACTCAGCCTGTCAGATCATGCTGGGGTCAGCTTTGATGTCTTCCTCTTGTGCCGACTCTCCTTTCTTAGTGCTGGGTTCATGCTGTCGAGCATTATTGTCTTCTAGCTTCTTCTTTTGACTTTTCTCTTTTTCTTCATCAATCGTTGCTTGTACTGCATTCAATAGGGAATGTGTTTCTTCACTGCATCTGGTTTTATTGATAAGAGAGTTCTTCCAGTTTTCGATAATCGCCCAGTCTCGACGATCAACCTTCTTTGTGAAATTACTGATTAGCAGAAATTCTTCGCTGCAGAAATTCACCTTGATTTTACTGGCTGCCGTGAACTTGTCCAAAGTCTTTATTAAGGAGTAATAAGAATCACTCCTTTCCAGTTTTAATTCATCTTCAGACGGACTTTTCAGTTCTTGGATTAGAACATTTGGAGGTCGAACCTCTCCACAAATTCCCATTTGGATAAAATGATACCCGGGGAATTGTTTTTCGTTTTCCCAGTCAGGAATTGTACTGCAAACCTTGAAGTAAATACCTTTTTGGTTTTGCAATATCTTGCATTTTTCCATATACAAACCTGTGGCCTGTTTAAGCTTGGGAAAGTATTGTAATTCCAACAATTTGTTATCAGGATATAGCAAATCCACAAATCCTCCTAATAACATGTCTCTAACTTTTTCTGATCCCAATCCAGGATACAGAATGGCTTTTAATTGCTGGTTTTTAGAAATTGGGACTAAACCCTGTTCTAATGTACTAGCGTTTAATTCCTCAAATAGTGTATACCATTCTTCTTTTGTAACAGTTAGTTTTAATAAAGAACTGTTTATTTCAAATTTATTGAACTCCCCAGAAATTTGGTTCAATATTTTGTTTCCGTTGAAAACTCCCATTTTATAGAAAACAGTTGTTCTTTCTTTAAATTTACCCTTAATTTTTTCAAGGATATTTTTAGCTTCGAATTCAGATTTCGCTACATGATAGTAGGAATCTGGCAATTCTTTTACTTTTTGGTAGTCTTGATAGACACCAATTTTAGGTCCTGTATGAACTACAAACCAATTCTTGGTTCTTTCATCTTCAGAAAACCTTTCAGTTTCTGTTTCTATTTTACCCGGAAATTCGGGTTTGATCAAGGCGTCTTTATACTGTGTATTGGCCTCTGTTTGTTGGGGCTTCTGAATTGATTTCTCAGATTCTGCCTTTAGTTTTACGATCTTGAGCTTTTTCTGAAGGATCTCAAGTTCATGCTGTTTCTGAAGTATTTCCAGCTCGAGTTCTTCGATCTGTAAATCCATTCTTGATCTTTTTCTTGATAATTGTTTAATTGGTACCTGTTCAGTTTGCACCTGCAAATTCACGAGTTAAACAGTCTGCAAGACAATTTTTATCACCTTTTATGTATTCAACATCAAACTGGTAGTGTTT